TATTCTTTTATTCGTAGATTCTAAGGACATAAATCCAAACTTCTTTGTGTAGCCATGTGAGCAGGAATCTCTTTTCCTCCTTGACTCTTTCTCCTTCGTCCGAGACATGAACTTTAGCATGACTCTTATTCCCTAGGTTTCCAACAAACAAAAAAAAGTTACAAGAACAATGATCCAAAATCTCCACCAATGGACATAGTCTTATGAGTCATAGATAACCATTAAAAAGATTCTACATTGGTTTTAGAATTTGTTTTAATCTAATTAATTGAATGCTTAGATGTAAGAGGAAAAAAAATCTACTGGGGCAAGATTTTTAGATGAATTTTATCTAAATTTTTAACCTACATATATTCTTTAATTTTGTCAATAGCGCAATCTGTTTTTATATAATAAAGTAATTTTTTTTATTTGTCTTTATATCTCTAAATGAACTAATTTTATCTTTAAGTATATATTAAGTGTCTAATCTATTATTCTAGCTAGATTTTCATGTTAAATGATTATGATTAATCATACGTTTTGTAGATGGAAAACCTTCTATTTGATTAGCTTGTAAAGATATTTATGAGTAAAAATTAATCATGTGAATAATTTTCATAATTTAGCTTGAAAATCTTAACAAAAGAATAAATTAAAAAATTAATATATATTTAAGAATAAAATAAATTCAACTAATGATATTTGGATAAATTAAGCTATTAACTCATTTTATCAACAAACAAATGGGCCTAAATTTAATAACCCAACTAGTGCCACAAATTGGAGTTCAGTACAAATTTAAGAAAAGACAAAACCTAGAAAAAGAAATCAAAATGGGTTAAATAGTTTCAGATCGTCACAAAAGAATTCGCAACACACATGCATCATCATGGCATGATCTTCCTCAAGACCTACTCAAGTTGATCTCTAAACAACCAAGTTTAAATTCTTTCGAACTTCTTGCTTTACACGATATATGTTTGCAGAGTAGCAAACAATCTTCACTGGTCTCCAAAAGAGCTTGAAAATCTTAACAAAAGAATAAATTAAAAAATTAATATATATTTAAGAATAAAATAAATTCAACTAATGATATTTGGATAAATTAAGCTATTAACTCATTTTATCAACAAACAAATGGGCCTAAATTTAATAACCCAACTAGTGCCACAAATTGGAGTTCAGTACAAATTTAAGAAAAGACAAAACCTAGAAAAAGAAATCAAAATGGGTTAAATAGTTTCAGATCGTCACAAAAGAATTCGCAACACACATGCATCATCATGGCATGATCTTCCTCAAGACCTACTCAAGTTGATCTCTAAACAACCAAGTTTAAATTCTTTCGAACTTCTTGCTTTACACGATATATGTTTGCAGAGTAGCAAACAATCTTCACTGGTCTCCAAAAGAGCTTGAAAATCTTAACAAAAGAATAAATTAAAAAATTAATATATATTTAAGAATAAAATAAATTCAACTAATGATATTTGGATAAATTAAGCTATTAACTCATTTTATCAACAAACAAATGGGCCTAAATTTAATAACCCAACTAGTGCCACAAATTGGAGTTCAGTACAAATTTAAGAAAAGACAAAACCTAGAAAAAGAAATCAAAATGGGTTAAATAGTTTCAGATCGTCACAAAAGAATTCGCAACACACATGCATCATCATGGCATGATCTTCCTCAAGACCTACTCAAGTTGATCTCTAAACAACCAAGTTTAAATTCTTTCGAACTTCTTGCTTTACACGATATATGTTTGCAGAGTAGCAAACAATCTTCACTGGTCTCCAAAAGAGCATATTATTTGTCACTGAAACTAAAAAGAACCAAGTCAAAAGACACGGGCATCGAGTATTCATGTATGTTAATGTCATGCAAGATGATCAGTAGTATTATTTTGGACTTTTTTTCTATGGTAGATAAATTTTATATATCTGTATCATCAATTAAGAAATGCTTGTTCTCTTTGCAATATTCCATGCTTTTGAACAAAAACTTGCCATAGATGGCCCAAGAAGAATTTGATTTCATGTTTCAAGATAATCTATTTATGCTCACAACCAGGTTCTTGAAATTGCATCATCCCTCTCCATTTATGAGAAAAATACTTGCACTTAAAGCCTTAACGATCAACATATATGAAGCTACCTGCGTCACTGCATACCTTTGGTGCTTGAGCAGCAACATGAGGAGACATCTCCATGCTTCATCCCCTCAATTTTCACTTCATTTCCTTTCAGCTCATCTCTCGAACATTGACCGAATGTGGACGAAACAAAAAACAATTTTTCGCCCATATCCGGTCAATATTCGAGTGATAAGCTTCAAAAATATTTGATATGATAAACTCTGCACCAAACCAGCCAATCAATGAAATGTTACCTCGGTATGTCCAGTTTAGATTTTAGGCAGAGAAAGGCTACATCTTCACCGGCATCACCTGAAACATATTTATAGGCCTTCTTGTACTTAACATGATACGATCTGTTACTACAAGAGGCGTGCAGTACAGTATTGAATCTCCTGGGTTAGGACAAAAATGGGTTCTGTACATAATCAATTCATGAATATTGGATCAGGATGGCTGCTGCCATCTCATTACGACTGACAATGACTTGAGAGCAAGTTTTAATAGGTAATGAAATTCAAACTCGTAATCATTTGATCATTAAGACTTTAATAACATATCAAAAAACCATTTTAATCTAAAAGTTTAAACTGTTGGCGAGCCTCACGATCCAAGAAATGATCTCAACCATTGAATAAGAAGGTCCAGGGTGATCTACAAAGCTACATGTCTCTCTACCTTTGAAAACAAGGTTCCGTGCTTGACTCAAAATCTGATGAAAGACAAATGTTAATTTGGCCTTCTTAGAAAACAATGTGTCCTCCTTTAATTTGATTATATTGGGTCTGCTGCAGAATAATTAATCTTGTCTTAAACTAGAAATCATTCAAAAAGTTTGCATGATCAGTAGGTTGTCTTTGTTCTTTTTGTATAGTCTTTCGTCAGTTGTGCTGCTGTAGAACTAAGCAGATTAATTGCTGCAAGAAATATTGGCTGAACTTGAGAACGAGGACCAAAGGCTGCATAATTGTCAGACTATTCATTCATGATTCACTTTGTGTAGATTTTAAGGACATAAATCCAAACTTCTTTATGTAGCCAGATTCAATGCAGCTGACGAGGCACAGTTGAAGGAATTACAGGAGCAAACATCTGCAAACACGACGCACATCCATAACTTAGAGGGTATTGTGAACAGCCAACAGGGCCAAGTGGCATCTGTTGGATACCACAATTGAGTTGAGAAACAATAGTCGAGAGTAGTTTACGATGATGTCACAGATGCAGCAGATGTTCATACGGCATTTTGAGCGTGGTGGTAGTTCATCCGCCGTTCCCGAGACCGACAACAACTCGACCCGGTCTCAAGACGACTCGACCCAGCCTCCGACTGATCCTGGACATTAACTTATTTTAGATTTTCTGTTTTCTTGTATTAACTGCAACTGATGTACTGTTTTTTTATTTAACAATAATGTAATTGTTTAGCGACGTTTTAATACATTCGCATGTTGTTATGATGTTAATGAACAGTGGGAATTTGGTGTAAAACATTCGCAACTAATGTCAAGAAAAAGGTGTAATTGGGATATAGAATCATATGTAAGAAAATATATTGCTAATTGGCAATCCCCTCAGAACTACCATTTTTCTTTAATGCTTAACAGTCAACATATAGGAAGCTACCTGCGTCACTGCATGCCTGTGGTGCTTGAGCAGCAACATGAGGGAGACATCTCCATGTTTCTTTAATGCTTCGCCCCTCAATTTTCGCTTCAAAGGGCTCTGTCGCCATTTCTGCTCAGCTAGCAAACGTCCAAGCCTTTCTGCTCATCTCTCGAACATTGACCGAATGTGGACGAAACAAAAAACAATTTTTCGCCCATATCCGGTCAACATTCGAGTGATAAGCTTCAAGAATATTTGATAAACTCTGCATCAAACCAGCCAATCAATGAAATGTTACCCGGCTATGTCTGGTTTGGATTACAGGCAGAGAGAGGCTGCATCTTCATCTGCATCACCTGGAACATATTTATAGGCCTTGTCCTCATGCTAAACATGATACGATCTGTTACTACAAGAGGTGTGCAGTACAATATTGAATCTGCTGTGTTAGTACAAAGAGATGTGCAGTACATAATCAAATCACGAAAATATTGGATCGGGATGGCTGCTGCCATCTCATTACGACTAACGATGACTTGAGAGCAACTGTTAATCTAATCATCAACTTCTGAATGTTAAATAATCATCCAAAAGTTTAACCTGAATGGTGAAACACAAACACTACTATAAATTATTTTCTATTATTCTTTAATACATGTGGGTAGAAATACCAAAAATTATTTTTTTTTTAATAAATTTTTTTAAATAAGAGATTTTGGGTTTGAAAATTGTAAGGGCTCACCTGCTTAATTATTTAATTAGAAGAAAAAAATAAAAATAATAATATTCAAATTCTTAACTATTTAATTATTAATACTCTAATATTATATAAAAAAAATTATTTTAATTTTAAATTTTAAATTATTAGATAACGTCATATTTTTTTGTGAATAGCTGCAGCTTCACGTGGATCCTTTTGCACCCTTCCTCGCTGGACGATTGTCCACCATGGAATACTAAGAAACATCAGATCTAGGACTTCCAGAAGGTACATTATTAATGATTGTTAGACATGTGCTTTCACTATAGCCATTTAATTTGATTACATTGTGTCTGGTTCAGAATAATTAATCTGGTCTTAAACTAAAAATCATTCAAAAAGTTTGCATGATCAATAGGTTGTCTTTGTTCTTTCTGTATCTCAAGGCAGGACTACGTTCTTAGTCTTTCATCAGTTGTGCTGCTGTAGAACTAAGCAGATTGCTGCAAGAAATATTTGGCTGAACTTGAGAAAGAGGACCACAGGCTGCATAATTACAAGACTATTCATTCATGATTCACCTACAACTCGAAGCCATGGCCCGAAAGCAATTGAACAATTCGTCGGTTCCGGCACGGCCAAAATTTCTTCTGTTGTCTCTTTTTTCCTCGCCTTTATTCCTCTATCGGTAACAGCATATTCCGATAGGAGTGCTGGTGTAGTTATCCAGACACGTTACCAACAACCAAACTGGATTATCTGTTAACCATTTCCTACATGCGAAACTTTGCAAGCCATCTTTGTCTGCCAATCTATCTTTAAGAACAAAAAATCATTTATTACCAAATGGATGTAGCCCAAATTTGCAATTTCTTAGTTCAGGAATTTTCCTGTGTACGGTTGCACATGAAGGAATAGCTACAAGAGAATTCCTGGCTAGAGGAGGGATTATCAAAATAAAAAATATTCCATATATTTAAATTCAATTATATATATAATTTTTTTTACAATGAGTGTTAATTAATTTTATTTTAAATTTATATTTTTAAAATATTTAAAATATTAAAATATAGATATAATAGACTTATCTGCGGCAACACTGGGGTATTGGGCTAGTTAGATATACTAAAAACAGACGGGGTTTCACTATAGCTAAGCTCTTGCTATAGTGAAACCAAAATGGTGTCGTTTTTTTAAAAAAAAAAGATTTTTTTTATCAATTTTTTAATATTTTACACTTTGATCCTCTAGATTATTACTTTATATAAAACAGATCCTAATTTAATTACTATTACAAAATGGTCCTTATAGTTTTTTTTTTTGCAAGACTTTTTTTTATTAATTATTATATAATTAAGATAATTTTTTTCTCATGATTAATGGTTACTTTTTCTATTTTTATAAATATTCATTAACTAAAATTAAATATTCTTCTAATAAATTGATTAAACACCTCCTTCTAATTTGATTTTTTTCAAATAAATAATTAATTGCATGTATTTTTTATTTATCAAAATAAAAAATATTCCTAAGATATATTTAAATTCAATTTTATATATATATATATATATATATATAATAGCCTTACCCGTGGTAACACGTGGGTATTGGGCTAATTATTTCTATTTTAAATAGATGTTCACATCTAAATTGATAACCAAAACTATCTCTAATAATTATGGAAATAATAAAATGCATGCTTGTCATATACCAAAAACATTGTCCTTTTAATAATTTCGGATATTGTAGTATAGATATGATGATTTTTTTAGTTTATTTTTAATTTTTTCAATCCTTGTGATTTTTTTTATAATTCTAGTATTCTTTATTTGAGTTTGTGGTGCTTTAGGCGATTTTCCAAGGATGTTGGTGGTTGATTCTTAGATTTTGTGGTTGAAAAAAAAATAGCAATTAAAATATTTTAAAATAGCAAAGCTATTGATAAATTATCGAAGTAAAAAGATATATCTTAGCAATCCCTCCTCTTGGAGTATAGTATTTTAATAGCAAGAAATTTGTCTTCTCCAAATTTGACATTGTATTTTATTTATTTATTATTATTTTATTTATTTATTTGATTTTGGAAGTCTATTAATAACATTAAAACCCTTATTATTGTTATCAATTGATCATGATCTAAGAAGATTTCATGTTTTTAGTATCAATGAAAATCTTATATTTGATTAAAAAAAAAATTCCTATAATTTTTGTAGATGTGTTTGTTTATATATTTTTATCATATGTACGTATTCATAAATCTCCACCAACCTTTAATTGTAATTTATATGACATCATGTCAAGAAAAGACTTTCTTCTTTGTACTTTCATAAAATATTTATAGACAATTAGAATCACAAAGTATTTGCGAATTTAAGTATCCAATAGTAACATTCAAAATTTGTGGACAGTTAGAATCATGAATTTAAACAATTGGATCGAAGAGACCTCAAACTTAAACAACTGAACAGCTTTGAGATAATGGAGAAAATTAAAAACAAAGGATGAGTTATTGCTCCTTCCTCTTCGAGTTCTGTGTGTTCTCCAAGGTATTCACCTTTGTCAATTTCTTTTAAGTTTCATAAATTTAATAATCAAAATCACATGTATTTTATTATTTTTATAATTATTTTCTTCATCGACTTAAGTCCATAAAAACATTCAAAAATTAACTTATATATATATACTTTAGATGAAATTTTAATCTATTTCTATATAATAAGATAATTCTTCAATCTATTTTATATTTTTAATTAAATTAATTTTATCTGTGAGTCTACATTAAGTATGTAATCTATCATTCTAACTAGATTTTTAGGTTAAATCATCATAATTGAAAATATTGCATTTGACTAACTTACAATGATACTTTAAGAATAAAAATTAATTATATACAAATCAGGTGAATAATTCCAATGATTTGGCTTGAAATCTTCAGAAAATAATACATGAAAAATTCAATATATATTCAAAAATAAAATAAATTCAATTAAGGATACAAGGAATGATTGAGCTAATAATTCCTCCTCTCCACCAAACAAGGTATTAAACAATATCATCAGCAGACTAATGGGCCTAGTCCAAAAGTTCCAAATTTTATATAGCACAAGTTGAGCCTAGTGCTCCGAATTGGAGTTCAAATCAAATTAAAGAAAAGAAAAGAGAAGGCCTCAAACCCTTGCATGGTAGGCCTAAAAAGAAATCAAAACGGGTTAATGAAATAGTTTCTGATCGGCAGAAACATGTTTGCAACACACATGCATCATGATGGCATGATCTTCCTCGAGACCTACTCAAGCTGATCTTTAAACAGCCAAGTTTAAATTCTTTCGACCTTCTTACTTTCCGTGATGTATGTGTGCAGAGTAGCAAGCAATCTTCGCTGCTCTCCAAAAGAGCATATGCTTTGTCTCTGATCAGCAGTTTTTGTTTTAGAATTTTTTCTGTGACAGAAATTTTATATATCTCTAAATTATCAGTTAAGAAATGCTTGTTCTCTTGCCATTACTCCATGCTTTTCTTTTCTTTTTCCCAAAAAATTGCCATGGCCCAAGAAGAACTTGATTTCACATTTCAAGATGATCTATTTATGCTCACAACCTCCATTTATAAGGAAAATACTTGCACTAAAAGCCTTAACAATCAACGTATAGGAAGCTACCTGCGTCACTGCATACCTGTGGTGCTTGAGCAGCAACATGAGGGAGACATCTCTATTGTAAAAGGGCTCCGTAGCCATTTCTGCTCAGCTAGCAAAGGTTCAGTCCTTTCTGCTCATCACTCAAACATTGACCGAATGTGGACGAAACAAAAAATAATGCTTCGCCCATATCCGGTCAATGTTCGAGTGATAAGCTTCAGGAATATTTGATAAACTCTGCATCAAACCAGCCAATCAATGAAATGTTACCCTGTTATGTCTAGTTTGGATTACAGGCAGAGAGAGGCTGCATCTTCATCTCCATCACCTGAAACATATCTATAGGCCTTCTTGTACTAAACATGATACGATCTGTTACCACAAGATGTGTGCAGTACAACATTGGATCTGGTACAAAGAGGTGTGCCGTACAATATTGAATCTGCTGTGTTAGTACAAAGAGGTGCGCAGTACATAATCAATTCACGAAAATTGAATCAGGATGGTTCCTGTCGTCTCATTACGACTGACAATGACTTTGAGAGCAAATTTTAATCTCATCATCAACTTTTAAATGCTATATTTAAATTATTAGATGAAATACTAAGAATTATTTTATATTATTTTTTAAGATATTTTTTCTAAGTGAAAATTTTTGGATCAAGAGGTTACCATTAACTTGTGCTTGCTTATTTAATTAAGAATAAAAAAATATAAAATGTTATTTTTCAAAAATTGAACTTTTTTATCACCAAGATTTTGATATCTTCTTAAAAAAGAAAAAAATTTTATAATACTCGAGGATTAACAAATGACGTATACAATAGATTCTTACTGAATTCATTTAAAATATATATATAATAAAAAACAGAAAAAAGAAAATTAAAAAAATTTGAGTGAACGTGAAAATCTTCTTATCACTTTTAATGAGTCGGATATAATTTTATGTATCTATCTCTCTCTCTTTCAAATAGATCTATGAAATAATTATTTTACAAGTCATTAATTACTCTTTATTTATTATAAAATTTTTAAGAAAAAAATAAATAAACTATTTCCATCAACAAGTCTAAATTGTTGAGTGACTGGTATCCTTTTTTTTTTTTGTGGAGAACTAGAGTTCCATGTGGATCTGTCGCACCCTTCCTCGCTGGACGATTGTCCACCATGGAATGTAAGAAACATCGGGTCTAGCAGTAGGACACTCAGAAGGTAAATTATTAACGATTGTTAGACACGTGCTTGCACTATAGCCATTTAATTTGATCATATTGTGTCTCCTGCTGCAGAATAATTAATCTGGTCTTAAACTGAAAATCATTCAAGAATTTCTCTGATCAATAGGTTGTCTCTGTTCTTTTTGTATCTCAAGGCAGGACTACCCTCTCAGTCTTTCATCAATTATAAGACTAAGCAGATTGCTGCAAGAAATATTGGCTGAATTTGAGAATGAGGACCAAAGGCTGCATAATTATAAGACTATTCATTCATGATTCACCTACAACACAAAACCATGGCCTGAAAGCAATTAAACAATTCGTCGGTTCCGACACGGCCAAAATTTCTTCCGTCGTCTCTTTTCTCTTGGCCTTTATTCCTCTATCAGTAACGGGACAATCCGATTGGAGTGATAGTGTAGATATCCAGAGATGTTACGAACAAGCAAACTGGATTATCTGGTAACCATTTCCTACATGGGACAACTTTGCAAACCATCTTTGTCTGTAAATCTATCTTGGCATTGTTCTTTGCCAATCTATCTTTAAGAACAAAAAATCATTTTATTACCAAATGGGTGTAGCCCAAATTTGCGAATTTTGCAGTTCAGAAATTTTCCTATGTCAGGTTGCACATGAAGGAATAGCAACAAGAGAATTAATGGATATAAGAGGGATTATTAGCACTGATCAGAACACCTGTCCATTCTGCTGTGTGAAGCAGAAACAATCAACCATTTATTTCCAGACTACCTTCTGCTGATCAAATGAAGATCTGCCATTTATTTCTAAACAACCAGATATCCTATGGTTTAAGTGGAATGTCGATGGCTCGGCATTGTTATGCAGGAACTGCAGCCTGCAAGTATTCGAATTTGGAGGGCACTCGGAGATTTTCAAGGAAACATATATGCATCTTTTCTAGCTTCCTTGGGATAGCTGAAAAAATATTAGGTAATTTACAATGGCAACTTGGTGTGATCTACTCGAAGAGCTACTTACATTGATCTTCAAGCAACCAAGTATGGATTCATTTGATCTTCTTACTTGTCCCTTCTCTTTACTTCAAATTTGTTGTTTCTTAACAAAAGATACAAAGCAACAGAATTTTATTCAATAAATTTGCCCATGACTTACAATGGAAGGAAACTCTTATCCTCCTCCTGCAGTTGGCTACTTTCAGGTGCTACAGACGGCGAAGATACAGTTTGCAAATATGATCTTCAGCCTTTTAATCTGTTATCCCTAGCCACTTTTAAGCTACCACCTCTGCAGCGATGTCCCACTGACTTTGCAGGGTAAATGGTTATAAAGTATCATAAACTTTGGTCAATATCGAATAAATTTCTAACCTGTTTTTATTCTGATCTAGATCTCGATTTTTTTTTATTAGAGCAATTAAGTTTTTTTGTACTATTAATTAATCTCAAGTGATATTAGATGCATGTACAAAATACGCCAGCCATTAAAACAGCGACCCGCATCCTAGGAGACATAGCAACAAGAACAACACCACATAGTTCTATGTTGCATCTTTCATTAATAAAGGGATTCATCTCCCTGAACCAATGGAGGGTTGACCAGAAATTTTTTTGTTGTCTTTCTTCTCTAGGCCTTTATTCCTATGTTAGTGTTAGTAATCCAATAACATGGGATGTTGTATCTACTTAGTTTACCAACTAACTTGATTTTCTGCTAACTTTCCAACCAAACCCAGCAGCTGTTTCTTGGAACATGAGACTATAACATGGGACAACCTGTGCAACCCAAGTTCAAAACCTTATTTGGTTACCTCTTTCTATGCTCTTCATTCCAATGTCCAGATCATGTTGACATTATTTCTCTGCTCTTCATTCCAATGTCCAGATCATGTTGACATTACTAACATGTATCAATCAAGTTAGACTGTTCAACTTTAGGCAGTCAAAAGAGATTATCATTTTCCTTCATTTGAGCACAAGCCACAAAGAAAGACAACACACAAAGTTTTATGGAGGCATCAATCAAAATCACAATCTACCATATGAAAGTTGCAGTTATCAATTCTTAGCCCATCAAATTTGCACGATTCCGTGGTCTAAACCCATGTGCCAGCTGCTGAATCTTCAGTTGTGGGTTTTGGATTTTCTTTCCAGCCATATAATTCATCTGGTGGGCTTGTTCTTGAGAGGAAAGATTGTTTTTGAAATTGACAATATGGCTTTCAAAACAGGGACAGTCCTTGTGCATGAGTATACAGATATACTTGGATTGCACCCCACACGAATACCCAACTCTTTGGACCCATTATGCTTCCACTGAAAAACACGCAAAAAAAAATAAAAATAAATAAAGAATTGTCGATTGTAATGAAATCAGGATTTTATGATTGATTCATTGAATGTCTTATGGAAGCTTTACCAGTTATGCTAATTAACATTCATTTTGTGATGTTAATTGAATTTAATGAATGCATTTTTTTATGGAAATAATCTTTTTTATTGTCGTTGAATATTTTTTTATGCATCAAAACTAATTTTGTCTATTTTAAATAAATCATTCATATCTAAATTGATAATCAAAACTATCTGATAATTATAGGAATAATAAAATGAATGCCTATCATGTATAAAAAAAAACAATTTCCTTTTAATAATGTTAGATCTCATAGTAAAGATATGATTTTTTTTATTATATAGTTTATTTTAAATTTTTTTAGTCCTTGTGAGTTTTTTTTTTTTTTAAACCCTTTATGTGAGGTATGGGGTTGTAGGGGATTTTTCAAAGTGATTGGTTTTTTGAATCTTGTGGTTGAAAAAGATAGCAATTAAAGCTATTGTTAGATTGTCGAAGTAAAAATACATGTCTCAACAATCTCTTCCTCTTGTACTATAGTTTTCTAATAATGAGAAATTTGTTTTCCCCAAAGTTGAGATTGTATTTCATTTTTTCTTTGTAACAATTTTTTTTTTTTTTTTATGTCTGTTAATAACATTAAAACCTTTATTATTGGTATCAATTGATCATAATGTAAGAAGATTTTATGTTTTTAATAACAATGAAAATCTTAAATTTGATAAAAAAAATAATAATTCGTAGAGGTGTTTATGTTTTTTTTCTTTGTATCATCTTTACGTATTTATGCATCTTTTCCTGCTCCATTGGGACAGCTGATTCTGGTTCCATGAAAAAATACTAGGATTCTTTCGATCTTCAAGAGCAGGAAAATGCAATGGCAAGATGGTGTGATCTACACGAAGAGCTGTTCACATTCATCTTCAAGCAACCAAGCATGGACTCTTTTGATCTTCTTACTTGTCCCTTTTCTTGACTTCAAAGTTGTTCTTTCCTAACAAAAGATACAAAGCAACGGAATTTCATTAAATAAATTTGCCAGTGAGTTACAATGGAAGGTAATTCTTGTCCTCCTCCCGTAGTTGGCTACTTTCAGGTGCTACAATCAGCGAAGATAACTTTTGCAAATATGATCTTCAGCTTTTTAATCCTTTAAATAAAAAAAAAAAAAAAAAAAAAAAAAAAAAAAACACTAGTTTTTATTCTGATTTAGATTCTAAATTCTTTTTCTATTTGCAACTAAGATTTTTTTTGGTACCGTTGATTAATCTTATGTGATATTAAACGCACTGAGAGGCATGTGAGACATTAAAACAAGCTAAACAGATCAAATTTTTTCTGAATTTTAACTCATTTAAAATTGAGTCCTTAAATTTTAAATTTAATTTTTGAGATTTTTAAACATGTAATTTTTTTATATTTAGTACCTTTTCAGTTTTATGTCATTTATCTCAAAAAATAAAAATCACATAATTTTTGAGATTTTTAAACATTTAATTTTTTTATATTTAGTACTTTTTCAGTTTTATGTCGGTTATCTCAAAAAATAAAAATCACATAAATAGCTCCATAATGAAAATCATTTAGTATTTATATGGTGCTCTTAAAAAAAAAATGAGATCATTCTAGGTTGTTTTCTATTTTTTCTGATTTTTAATATTTTTAATGTTAAAAAAAAATATGATTTTTTATTTTGAAAAATTCTAGGAGTTTTTTTGGAAAATAGATTAGGTTTTTTTTCTTCCCTAACTTTAATTTAAAATGCCAAGAATTGAATTTTTTTGAAAGAACGGTAATAACTAAAAATCATTGGATGGATTAAATCTCAAAACATTAAAAATTCAAAGACTCAAAAAACCAAATTTGAATTTCAGTAACTCAATTTAAAAAAAAAGTTAAAATTCAGGAAAAGTTTTACTCATTTAGCCTTAAAACAATACCTCCTGGGAGAGACGACAGCAGCAAGAACAACAACACATAGTTCTATGTAGTATCTTTTTCTGCAACGTAGTATTCCCTTTCATTAATAAAGGGATTCATCTCCCTGAACCGTTGAAGGTGAAATTTTTTTGTTGTCTTTCTTCTCTAGGCCTTTATTCCTCTGTTAGTAACAGGGTCATCCAACAAGATGGGATGTTGTATCTACTTAGATTACCAACTACCTTGATTATCTGCTAACATTTCCAACCAAACCCAGCAGATGTCTGTTGGAACATGAGATTATAACATGAGACAACTTACCAACCTAAGTTCAAAACCTTATTTGGTTAAATCTTTGTCTGGTTTATCTGATCTGCTAAAGCATGGTGATATGTAAATGTCCAGACCAAGTTAACATTACTTGTATGAATCAATATTCAAGTTAAACTGTTCAACTCTAGGTAGTCAATAGAGATATCGTTTTCTTTCATTTGAGCACAAAGAAAGACTACCTTTGGCACACACACAAAGTTTGATGGAGGCATCAATCGAAATCACAATCTACCATATGAAAGTTGCAGCTATCCATTCTTAGCCTATCGAATTTATACAACTCTTTGGTCTAAACCAATGTGCTAGCTGTTGAATCTTCGGTTGTGGGTTTTGGTTTTTCTTTCCAGCTATATAATCCATGTGGTGGGCTTGTTCTTCAGAGGAAAGATTGTTTTTGAAATCGACAATATACCCATATACTTGGATTTCACCCCACACGAATACCCAACTCTTTGGATCTATTATGTATACTTCCACTTAAAAAACAAGAAGAAAAAAGAAAAAAAGAATTTTCTATTCTAATGAAATCGGGATTTTATGAATGATTCAGTGAATGTCTTATTATTGTCGTCATTTTCTTGATCATTAAAATAATTTCTTCTTACCACAGCTCTAAAATTGTGATTTTGAGGAATTATAACGTTTTTTGTTGTAATGAGTTTTAGTGTTCTTTCCACCATCAAGAATATTGCTTTTCAATTTATCCGAATCCGAAATAGTTTTGTAACTAACCCTTGTGTGCATTAGACAGGAAAGAAACAGAGCTGATTTTATTAATTATTTCTATAATTATTCGTTTTATCGACTAAGTTAAGATTTTCGAGTTAAATTATCAAAATTAATTATAAGTTTTTTGCATAAAAACTTTTCATTTATGTAGTTTGTAAGGATATTATGAGAACCGTTTGTTTAAAAATGACATTTTGATGAATTTATCTTTTGAATTTACCGATCCAATATAAAAAGCTAGATTCTTAATATTGTTTAAGAAAAGAGTTTAATTTTGATAAGTGATCTCTTTGGTCTTCTAATTAAAAAAAAAAAAAAAACACTATGTATA